GCTATGAGTCGATTCCGACTCGATGGCACCTGACAACAACATGAGTCGGTACCAACTCCACGGCACACAACCACCACCAGCAAGGATAAGCACTGGACTGCAAGGTCAGCGGTTCTGACACACTCTTCAGAAATCCTATACAGGGTCACTATGAGTCGAAACCGACTCGACCAACAACATATATGGAAGCACATCATAACACTTTTCTTGCATGATAACCACATGGTGGTTTCAAACCGCCAACCTTTGTGTTACCAGAACCAAACAAAAAAACACACATCCAACCCGCCCCTGCCATCGAGTTGATTCTGTTAGCAAGCCTGTATTGAGTTGCCAAAACTCTAAGTAAGTCTTCACCAGAGCAGAAAGCCTCATCTTTCTTCTGACGTTGGCTCATGGGTTTGGATTGCCGACCTTGTTGTTGGCATTCTACAGTCCACCAGGGCTCCTTTTGGGTAACCAACCAGTCACAAATCACTTCCAATAGCTAGGTTCCTAAAAAAAACCTGATCATAAAAATCAAAGATCAAAATTCCATTTTTCCAGCTGTTGTTGGAATTTTGATCTTTGATTTTTTCCAGCTGTTGTCCGAGCCGTGGAGTCGGTTCGGACTCATAGCGACCCTGCCTAGGGTTTCTAAGCATCGGCTGGTGGGTTTGAGCCGTAGGTAGACCTTGCAGCTAGCAGTTCAGTGCTTATCCCACAGCGCCACGCCAGGATTTCGTTTTCCCAGTAATAGATTTATATCAAGGGTTCTGCGGCCACCTAGTGGACACATCGAGTACTAATCTGAGAACTGAATTTCAGAGCGGTGGCTCTGTGGATTACGTTTACCACAAAGTCGCTCATTCCAGTCAACCAGTCACTCAGTGGAAGAAAAATGAGGCTTTCTGTTCCACGAATATCTACAGTCTCGCTATAAAGGGTAGCTATGAGTCGGAACCGACTCGATGACGCTTAACAAAAAGAAGCTGCGTTTAACTGAAAAGAGCAGAATTATTTGGAGTTTCGAACAAGGACTTTAGATGTTTTATGGTACTAATTAAAACTTTTTACTTCTGTGGCTGTTTATTTTAATGTTTTATTGTGAATTGGGTGAAGGTTAGCAGCAAAACAGCTTTCCAGTCAACAAATCACACACATTTTGTCGGATATCATCACTGATTGCAATCCCCCAGCTTCTTCCTTGTGTTTGCCAGTTCCATCCGTTCATTTCTCTAACCCTTTTTGTCTTTTGAATTTTGTCTTCGGCCAAATGTTGCCCCCATCTTTTTCTTTCTTACTTTTTTTTTTCACACAGAATCGGGGTTTTATTCGGGCCTTCACACATCTACTGCTAAGACGACACAGATCAGCGGTACCCCATCTCCCAGGGCCACTGTGACCATCCGTATTTCCCCAGCCCCTTCCTCCCCTCCCATCCCTTCCGCCAAGCGCCCTGGGTGGGGGCCTCTTCCTACACCTCCCCCCGGGCATGTAGCATGAAGTGGCCGTGGAGCTCCCCGAGGTTGTCGAAGGAATCGTCACACTCTGTACACTGGTAGGAGCCCTCGTCTTCCTCCTCTTCCTCCTCCTCCCTCCCAGCTGGTTGGCCTTCCCCAGGCCCCTCCCCTGCCCGAGGAGGCTCTTCCTCTTCCTCCCCAAGGGCCCTGCCTTCGGGGACTGGCGCTTCCTGGGGGGCTGTAGCGGGGCAGCAGAGCCGGCAAGGTGGGGTGCCTGGTGGGGCCTCCCCAAGAGGTGGGCGGCCACAGAGCTGGCAGGGCTGGGCCGAGGGGCCCGGGGGCTGGGCTGCACTGGGGGCCCGGCGGGAAGGGTCGCCCCGGCCGCCCCCCAGGCGCTGCTTCACCTTGTAGCCAGGATCATATTCGGGATCGTCAGTGGTCTCTTCTTCCTCCTCCTCTTCATCCTCTTCCTCTTCTGAGTCCGGCTCTGAGAGTGTGTATTCTGAGTCGGAGGAATGCTCAGGGCCTGGGGAAAGATCTTCGTCGTCTTCTTCCAAGCTGGCGTAGCCCCCGGTCTCAGCTGGCTCACGGGTCTCTGTCATGGCCGGGCGAGGGGACAGGAGACGGGAGCAGAGGAGCAGCTAGGCAGCGTCCCTCCCCGGCCAGCTCTCCAGAGCCGTACCTCCAGCCACAAGGTCTTCTCCGATGCAGACTTGGCAGGCTGGGAGGGGTACGGCGCTGGTGGCCCCAGCTCCGACTCCGCGGTAGCGGCAGCACGCCCCTCTTTCTTACTTTTTTGAGATGTTATTTTGTAATTCTTTATTATTCTTTAAAGGATCCCTGGTAGCGTAGTGAGTTATGAATTGGGCTGCTATCTGCAAGGTCAGCAGTTTGAATCTACCAACTGCTCCCCAAAGGAATAATGAGGCTTTCTGCTTCCATTAAGATTTACAGCCTTGGAAACCCTATACAGGGTAGCACAACATAATCTTTAAAGATTTTAGCTTTGAGATTTAAATATTGCCTGGTGTTGCAGTCGGAATTCTTTAGAGAAACATTACCGGCAGGTTGGCAACAGGCTAGAGAGTCCTACAATGGATTGGCACAGTGGCAGCTTCGATGGACTCAAGCGTGGCAACAGTAGTGAGGTTGGCCCAGGATCGGGCAGTGTTTCCTTCTGCTGTGCATAAGGTCGCTATGAGTCGGTGCCGATTCGATGGAACCTACCAACAACAACAATGAATGCTGGACTCCTAGTGTGGCACTTTAGAATCAACAATGGACTGCAAACCACAAGGTTGGCAGTTCAAACCCACCAGCTGTTCCTCAGAAATCCATAGAAACAGGGTTGCTAGGAATCAGAATCGACTTGATGGCACTTAACAACAACAACATGAATGCTGTAGAATTGAACTACAAGGTTATGGTTCAAACTCACTGGTTGCTCCTCGGAAACCCTGTACAGGGTGGCTATGAGTCAGAACTGACTCCATGGCACTTAAAAACCACAACAAGCTAACAACAAAGCCAGAGGTTCAAATCTATCAGTCTCTCCTCAGAAACTCTACACAGGCTTGCTATGAGTCGGAACCAACTCAACGACAACAACAACAACACGGATGTTCAAAGGAACCCTGCTAGCATAGTGGTTTCTAATGACTTGTGTCAGGTCAGCTATTGGAATCTACTAGCTGGTCCGAAGGGGAAAGCTGAGATTTTCTGCTCCTGTAACAATTTACAGACTTGGAAAACCATATAGAAGGACACTACAAGTTGGAACTGACTCAAAGTTACTCAACTACCACCACCGCCATTAAATGCTCAAGAGGGTAAATCCAATATGTTTTGAGTACTTTTTTTTTACTTAAAACTTTTCTATGCTTAGTGGTAGATAATTGTGTTGTTGTGAGGTACCACTGAGTCAGTTTCAACTCATAGCGACCCTCACATCAGGATACCCAGTGCGCAGGGGTTCCAAGATTGAAGGACCCATGTTTCCTAAGGAAGCATGTCCATTTTAGATGAAAGGAAACTGAGACCCAGCTCACATGGTCAGTTAACAAAACTAGGATTCAAAGTCCAGGCCCTTAAGGCTTCAAGGTAGTTCTGTTCAATGACTGCTATCTCCTACGTCCCAGGGTCGGATCCCCCGAGGGTGTGCCCAGGCCTGGAACTGAAACTCCTGAAGACAAGCTTTTTCTGGAAGATCAATCAGGAATATCTCTTAAAGTCAGGGTTGACTCCATGTGTAGGGTTCCAGGTCTAGAACATCAAAAAGGTTGAGGGTGTAGGGCATGAAGGTGGTCTACACAAATGGTTGATGAGTGTAGCTCAGGATCATAAGGCTGAGGCCAGCGCCCTGTGTGGGGCGGGAAGGGCAGGTCCTCAACACAGGCTGCCCTATTCTTGCCATGGCAATGTGGGATAATGCGCTGGACTGCAAGGTCGGTGGTTCAAATTCACCAGCCACTCCTCAGAAACCCTATACAGGGTCGCTATGAGTTGAAACTGACTCGAAGGCACTTAACAACAACAACTATCATCATCCACTGCCCACTGGGGGAGGGGGGCTGCCGATTAGGGACCACTGGGTGCAGTGGGACTAGATTCAAGAAGTCCAGTTGGAGCTGGATTGAATGGGGTGACGGTGGTTTTGGGGACAACACAACTGTATTAGCAAGTCCCTCCATGCATGACGGCTTTTTGCCTGCTCCCTTCCAGGCCAAGTAGGCTGGAAAAAATTTGAGAACTTGAGAGAGATCGAGATTGAAGATTAATGACTGGGACATGATCTATTTTAAATTCCTGAATTATACAATAATAAATACGTGCTACTGTAAGTAACTAAGTTTTGGGTAGCAATAGGAAACTTATACAACTCCCAAATCTGAGGTGAGTATTTTCTCCGGTGCCAGGTGGTGAGGGAACTTCCTGCTGAAGTGTGGCCTTCTCTCTGTGCAATTCTGTAACTTGCCACACGGTGGAGACAGTCTGCCTCTGGGCAAACCCTTTGCGGTCTAGTTGACCCTATATTGTTGTTGTTAAGTGCTATCGAGTCAGTTCTGACCCATAGCGACCCTGTATAGGGTTTCCGAGGAGCAGCTGGTGAGCTCGAACCACTGACCTTGCAGTTCAAACTGACTTAGCTGTCTGGCGCATTAGCCTGCAGTGCCACACCCTATAAGCAAGGTAGAACGGCCCCCATATTGGTTCCAAGACTAAATCTTTACAGAAGCTGACTTCCACAGCTTTCTCCCGGAGTCCGGAGTCCGGCTGGTGGGTTCCTTTTAGTTAGTAGCCAGATACTTAACCACTGAGCAACAAGAGGTAGGTCTTCACAAACTACAGGTGTTTTCTTGCCTTTGGACGGGTGACCTGTCTTAGACCCTGTGCTCCCGTCTCACAGGCTACGAGCCCGCAGTTTTCTATATGATCCTCCCACAACTCCCGGCTGTAAAACAGCAACGTGACCAGGGATCTCTCTCAGGATGTGACGTTGATACGCTCACTGGAGGAAGGGAAGGCATGGCAGACCTACATATTCACAGAGCCCTGTGATCGCTGCCTGGTGGGGTCAGGTCACTGCACACTGGAGGAAGAGAAAGCAAGTGCTTTGTGGTTGACATCCTGTGAACCAGGTGGGGAGCAGCCACATTGTGCCTGGGGAGGCTGGAGGAGCTGACTCCTATGGACCTGTGAGCCCCAGAAGGGATTGGCTCCAGCCTAGGAGACTGCAAGCTGTGGAGGATGGTAAGCAGGAACTCTATGCTCCTTATGGTGACAACACCTCCAGAATGTGGATGGGGGTGTGGTGGGGAAGGACAGGGACATCTGTCCATCTGTCAACACTGAGGGTAGGGAGACCCTTGAGGAATTTTTATGGAGTTGGATGAGGGCACAATGGTCAGACTCAATACCTGATCCAAGGTAGACTAAAGGGCCACATATTTGCTGGCTGGTTGGAAAACAAACCCTTTAGTGTCTGGGATACCTGTAGGTGGATGGATGTCCTGTCCTGAGATGGGAGACATTGAAGGAGCACCAGGGGGGAGGATGCAGGAGTCTGAGACGCCTGTGAAGTCCTGGGAAGAAGTTACGCAGGCACTAGGATGTACAGATGGAAACTTCGAAGAGAGATGTGAGCCCAGGTGAACGTGTGGGAATTGTCAAAGAATGGCTGAATGGGTTGATCTTGTCACATATTCAAATAAACTGGGGGATTAAAAAAAAAAAATCCTAATATCTGGACTCCACCCCAAACTGCTACCAATTGTCTGTCATGTTGTATTGTGGTAGCTTGTGTATTGTTGTGATGCTGGAAACGATGCCAGCAGGGAGGGTCACCCATGGGGGACAGGTTTCAGCCAAGCTTCCAGACAAAGTCTAAGACTAAGACAGACTAGAAAGAAGGACAAGCAGATCACTTCTGATTAGTTAGACACTGAAAACCTTATGAATATAGAGCTGAAAGATATGTTCCTTAGGTTGAAAGACACTCAAAATATGATTGAGAAAGAACTACCTCCTGAAAGTACAATTGACCTTACTGATGTGGATAGAGCCAAGCTTTGGGGAGCTTCATTTGCTGATGGAGCATAACTCAAAATGAGAAGAAACAGCTGTAAACACCCATTAATAATCAGAACCTGGAATGTACAAAGTATGAATCTAGGAAAATTGGAAGTCTTCAAAAATGGGATGCTTTATTAAATATCAGTATCAGTGATCTGAAATGGACTGGTATTGGCCATTTTGAATCTGACAATCATATGGTTTACTATGCCAGGAACAACAAATTGAAGTGGACTGGCCTCGCATTCATGGTCAAAAAGAGCATCTCGAAATCTACTTGAAGTATAACACAGTCTGTGATAGAATACTAGCCATACACCTATGAGGAAGATCACTTAATACACCTATTATTCAAATTTACACACCAAGTACTAAAGTCAGTGATGACCAACTTCTTACGGACAGCTGGTATAGCACAGTACTGTAGCATCAGCACTGGACTGCAAACCACAAGGTCGTCAGCTCAAACCAATCACCCACTCCTCGAAAACCCTATACAGGGTTGCTGTGAGTCGAAACCGACTCAATGGCACTTAACAACAACAACAACCAACTTCTTCAGTATGAAATTAATCAAGTATGCAATCGAGATGTGCTGATAATTACTAATATTGAAATGCAAAAGTTGGAAGCAAAGAGGAAGGTATTGGAAAATGTGGCCTTGGTAATAGAAATGATGCTGGAAATCACATGCTAGAATTTTGCGAGACCCATGACTTAGTCATTACAAATATTTGTTTTTCAACAACATAGACAGCAACTATATACATCACCAACTGGACTACACAGGACTCAAACTGACCACATCTGTGGGAAGAGATGATGGAGATGGTTCAATGTAATCAGCCAAAACAAGCCAGGAACCAATTGTGGTGACAACTAAGGGCACCACAAACCCTTCCAACCAGCCAGCAAATGTGTTGAGCTTGACTGGAAATGTAATCGCTTATATGGAAGCTCAGGCTGAGGCTGAAGAAAATGAAACCAAGTCTATGAGAACCAAAATATGATCTTAAACCTATCTCACCTGAATTTAGAGATCATCTCAAGAACAGATTTGATACATTAGACACTAATGACCAAAGCCCAGGGGCTCAGGCTGCCCAGAAGGAAGAGCTGGTGGACAGAGGGAGGAGTCCAGATGACAGAGACGGAATTCCTTCATGAGCAAGGAGCTC